CGCCCCCCAGCCTGCAAGCAGCCGGCAGTTGGCAGTCTTCTCTTGAGTTTATGGTTTGCCTCTCCATGGTGTCATTCTCACAGGATATGGCCTTTCCATTCTGGTTCTATTGTTCACATGGATTTGTTTCTTCTCTGTCCTCCATTTTAAGCTTTTAGATGGTATGCTCAGGAAAGTGGAACTAGATACTCGATACTTAGAGATAGCTTTATTTAAAAAAAAAAAAGAAAAGCAAAATGTTCATGCCATGTAATTTTAGGAGTATGAGTGGAGACTATGTGTATTCCATTAAGAGACTTTTTGGAGCCCTTTCACCAATGATCTTGAAAGAAAAATGGCCCTTTGTTGATTTTCTGAAAGTGGTTCCTGTCACACCTATGTTTTCTGGCTGGGAACGCCATTGTTTGAGCCTCGTGTTGTGGCGGCCATGTGGGTGAACAGGTACTGCTAAGCTTTATGGCTCAAAGCGAGAACTTCGTGCTTATAGCTCTTCACAGGGGTGAGTTGCTAACGGTGTCTCAGTGAGAAGGGGAAGAGCTGGGGGACTGGGCTAAAGTCTGCTGCTGACTCTCACAGGTGGGAGAACAAAGCTCACCATTTATTTAAGAATCCTGAGAGGGCTGGGAAGTGGCTCAGCGGTGGAGCGCTTGCCTTGCACGCCTGAGGCCCTGGCTGGGAAGTGGCTCAGCGGTGGAGCGCTTGCCTTGCACACCTGAGGCCCTGGCTGGGAAGGTGGCTCAGTGGTGGAGCGCTGGCCTTGCACGCCTGAGGCCCTGGCTGGGAAGGTGGCTCAGTGGTGGAGCACTGGCCTTGCACGCCTGAGGCCCTGGCTGGGAAGTGGCTCAGTGGTGGAGCGCTTGCCTTGCATGCCTGAGGCCCTGGCTGGGAAGTGGCTCAGTGGTGGAGCGCTTGCCTTGCACGCCTGAGGCCCTGGCTGGGAAGGTGGCTCAGTGGTGGAGCACTGGCCTTGCACACCTGAGGCCCTGGCTGGGAAGGCGGCTCAGTGGTGGAGCACTGGCCTTGCACGCCTGAGGCCCTGGCTGGGAAGGCGGCTCAGTGGTGGAGCGCTGGCCTTGCACGCCTGAGGCCCTGGCTGGGAAGTGGCTCAGCGGTGGAGCGCTTGCCTTGCACGCCTGAGGTCCTGGCTGGGAAGTGGCTCAGCGGTGGAGCGCTGGCCTTGCACGCCTGAGGCCCTGGCTGGGAAGTGGCTCAGTGGTGGAACCCTGGCCTTGCACGCCTGAGGCCCTGGCTGGGAAGTGGCTCAGCGGTGGAGCGCTGGCCTTGCACGCCTGAGGCCCTGGCTGGGAAGTGGCTCAGCGGTGGAGCGCTGGCCTTGCACGACTGAGGCCCTGGCTGGGAAGTGGCTCAGTGGTGGAGCGCTTGCCTTGCATGCCTGAGGCCCTGGCTGGGAAGGCAGCTCAGTGGTGGAGTGCTTGCCTTGCACGACTGAGGCCCTGGCTGGGAAGTGGCTCAGTGGTGGAGCGCTTGCCTTGCATGCCTGAGGCCCTGGCTGGGAAGGCGGCTCAGTGGTGGAGTGCTTGCCTTGCACGCCTGAGGCCCTGGCTGGGAAGGTGGCTCAGTGGTGGAGCGCTTGCCTTGCATGCCTGAGGCCCGGGGTTCAGTTCCTCAGCACCACATAAACAAAAAAGAAAAAAGCCGGAAGTGGCGCTGTGGCTCAAGTGGTAGAGCGCTAGCCTTGAGCTGAAGAGCTGAGGGACAGCTCCCAGGCCCAGAGTTCAGGCCCCACGACCAGACCCCCCCCAAAAAAAAAAAAAAGAATGCTGAGATTCTGGGCAGCTGCCAAGGGGTTGGGACAGAGCCTGCTTCTCAGCATTGCTGGAAGGTAGTAGGGAAGTTACAGAATGAACAGACCAGCATAAGACAGTGTGCCTCTGCTCCTCCCACTTCTGGGGTTTGGAGAAAAGACTGATGAGAAATGTGTCTTTTGTAAAAAAATGTAATCAGAAAGATTATAAAATGTAAAACAAAGCTGCTCTGTTTAGAGCCCTCGCTGTTTACTAAGGCCAGGAAGGACGCTTCCTGAACTTTGCCTCTCCTTCCCTGACCATCACCAGTGGGAGGCCTAACAGAGCATGTCTGGGAGCAAGTTAAACTTTCTCCCAGGCAGTGCTTAACCTTCAGATGGTCACATGGGTTTTACAGAAACCTCAGCCTGACCAACAAATAGGAAGGCAATGAACAGATAGGAGGTAAGTCAGCTGGGAGAAGCCAGCACCTGGTCAGCTCGGGTATGCAGTAAGTAGGGAGGCCGACTCGGCGGCAGAGCGTGCTCTCCGGGGCCTTTGTGCGGTCCGGCCTGTGAGGGCGCTCTGTTGGCGTCTGAGGGTAAGAGGAGACGTGAAGGCTCACGTGCTCAGGATTGATTTCTCTGGATTAGAGGTTCGGGGACAAAAGCACCGTCATCTGGGCAAGGGAGGCCATCAGGCAGTGCTGGCCACCCCTGGATCGAGCCATGGGCCTTGCTGTCCACTAGCGATTTAATCACGCGATCAAGGGCTCTAAATGAGTTTTGATTGACAAGTGAGTTCATCTGAATGGTGTTAATTAGTAAAATTTTTACCAATTGGTAGCGTAGATTCAGCTTTTGGGCACAGCTGGGTTCTGGGTGGCTGGCAGATATAACCTGAGGGGTAAGGCTGCTGAGTACTGGTTTTGAATTGTAATGGGTGGACGGTGGCTGAGTACCAGGCTCCAGGGTGATTTGTACCTCTCTTGAAAGAGCCTAGGAAAACAAATTTTCTGGCGCACTGGTATTTATGTAGAATGCTGTGCTCGATAGCAGGCATCCAGACGAGCTCAGAAGAGGGCAGGCAGCATGCTGTCACTTGAGTGCATACTGTCTTCACAGGTTGGGGCTCTCTAGCAGAGTTTCTGTCTTTGTGGTTGTGTCCAATAAATTACAAGGAGTGAGCAATGTGGAGATGTGTGGTTTTGAGCAGGGGCTTTTTACTGCCATGTACTCACCAGGGAGTGTGTGAGTGCTAACGGACAGGACTTCCACGAACCTGTTTGTTTAGAGTTTGGAGCAGCTAAAGGGTAAGTGCAAATTGTATTCACCTCAGTGAGACCCGGCAGCAGATCAGGAGAGACCATTGGCCAGCTCTTTAGAAATGAGGAGTCGAAGGTAAGACCAGCAGCTGCCTTCTGAGTCTGTCCCAGGTAGTCAGGCGGCTGGGACACCCTCCCTGTTCCTTTCAGTGGGAGTTGTATAGGCACCACATTTGCCACTCCTGTTAGAGGAGTGTTAATCCCACCCTGAGTAGCCTAAGCTCCAGGGCTACTTCACCCACAAGGACACTACCTTTCACACAGGTTGAGCAGGAACTTGGGGGAGCAGACCCTAGTGTAGAGTTTCTTCCTTCTTGGGAAGAAAAGCACTCTGCTGGGCTGTGTGAGCTGTGCTTGAGGGAATGAAAAGGCTGGTTTGTTACTATAAAAGCTTGAGCTGTTGTTGGAAAGACAGAGTCCACATGGCCAAGGAGAAGCAGTGGATGTCTACCATAAGTAAGGTGGTTGATAATGCTTTGGGGCTAGGGTGGTGTTTTGTTTTGTTTTGTTTTTTTGCCAGTCCTGGGGCTGGGGCTTGAACTCAGGGCCTGGCGACTGTCCCTGAGCTTCTTTTGCTCAAGGCTAGCACTCTACCACTTCCAAATTTTTCTGTGTATGTGGTACTGGGGAATCAATTCCAGGTCTTCATACATGTTAGGCAAGCACTCTACCACTGAACCGCCTTTCCAGCCCAGGGTCCAAGTTTTGTTAGCCTGCTCCAGGTTTTTGAAGAAGACCTCACTGCTCTGCTGGTGAGGGTCTAGCACTTCGGCACCGTCTGCTCCCATTATTCTAGAATTAAGTGCTGGAAGAATCTCCATGTGGCTGTTCTGTGTACTGGGGGCAGTGTTGTTTCTTTTTGTTTTAGGATTTTTTCTTTTCTTTTGGCAGTAGTGGGTTTGGCAGTATTAAGCAGGTAGGTCCTTGAACTAGTTAGACAAGTAATGTACCATCTGAGCAATGCCACCAACCATTTTATTTTTTCTGAATAATTCTTCCCCCACCCCCCTTGGGCCTGGGGCTTGAACTCTGGGCCTGGGCTCTGACCCTGAGCTTCTTTTGCTCAAGGCTTAGCGCTCTTCCACTTGAGCCACAGCACCACTTCCAGCTGGTTCTGAGTAGGTTATTGGAGATAAGAGTCTCAGGGACTTTCGTGCCCATGCTGGCTTTGAACCTTGTTCCTCAGATCTCAGCCTCCTGAGTAGCTAGGATTACAGACATGAGCCAGTGGCTCCCAGCTGAATATGTTTTACATTTACACCTGTTGGGAGTAAATCACAATCTTCCTGTTTACCTTTCTCTTATGCTGGATTACAGTGCATTCAGCCATACCTGGAACTTTTGGTCCAGCACAATCAGCCTCCCAAGTATTGAAGAGATTACTAGTGTGGGCCACTGGCATTAACACTAGCTGTATCTTTGTGGGGTTTTTTGTTTGGTTGGTTTTTTGTTGGTGGCGGGGCTTAAACTCTGGGCCTTGAGCTCTTCAGCTCAAGGCAAGTGCTCTACCACTTGAGCCACAATGCCACTTCCGGTTTTCTGGTTGTTCTTTGGAGATTGCTGCTCAGGTTGGCTTTGAACCTTGATCCTCCGATCTCAGCCTCCTGAGTAGCTAGGATTACAGGCGTGAGCCACTGGCCCTTGGCTTGTATCTTTGTTTTTGAAACAGGATTTTACTGCTTTTGCCCAGGCTGGCCTTGAACTCAAGATCCTCCTTTAGAGTCTATGGAGGATTTTCTTATGCCCCCGGGTGAGTTTGTAACTACAACTTTCTGGCAGCACATTTCCGTGGGAGTATGCAGCGCTGTCAGGGTTGTTAACAGCCTCTTCTTACATAACATTAGAAGCCCACACTGAGTCCTGTGTCCTGCTGCTGGCTTCATCCTAGCCCCACATAGATGCCTGATCTGCATGTTTTTCTTGTCTCTCTGGCTCAGTCTCCCACAAATAGACCAGAGCTGGCCCTGCCCTGGTGTGTGTCCTGGCCCATCTTACTCAGAAGAGACCGCCACCCAGGGTGAGAGATAACATTGGATCTGGACCTCTTGTGTACATTTGTTAATTTCAGATTTTTTCACATTTATAGTTTATAAACAGAATATGTTCATTTGAAAGTGAAAAGCCGTGAAAGAGAGTAGTAAGATTCTCCATTTAGAGAGGGGCCCCAAAGATGGGTCCCTAGTTTCAGATTTTGAAGTAGATGCTTTCTGTGAATTAGAAATTAGTTCTTGTGAATTTTATAGATTCTAGGTAACATTTGAGCTTTCATTTGGAAATCTGAGGGACATGATCAGATACTCAGAATATTGCAGTCCATGTTGTTCCAACTTATCCTGACTTCTGACTTCTTCGTGGCTGGCGGGGGTTTTCCAGTCGCATGTGTCTTGTTCCAGTGCCCTGAAAAGCACCTCCTGTGTCATCCCCTGCTTGCATGAGGGGCTTTCCTGGGAGGTTGGCATGTCTAGCTTCATTTGTAGATGAGGCTCTAGGGTTGAGCTACATACCTTAGGTCATATGGCTGGTGGGCCCTGGTAGAGCTAGTTTCTCTTCAGCTATGTTCCACAGGTCTGAGTCTCTTCAGATGAGTCTTGGAAGCTCAAGTGGCACAAGATGTCCTGTAATCTGCATAGCAGACCCAGAGGGCAAAGGGCACATTTCTCCTGCAAGACGTGTGACTTCTCTGAAATCTTACTTGTTTGTAAATCGTTAGCCATAGAATCTTATAAGCATGCGATGTTGCCTACTTTTCCTAAGTAGAAAAATGTTCTGTTCAATTATTCTTTAGATCTATAATCTGCAAACATTACTGTATAGTCCAGAAGTGTCTGTCTATGGTGACATATTAAACCCTATGCTAGGTGCATAGGTTTGTTGGGAAGGTAGATATTTTGCTAGTTGACAAAATTGGCTCGATAACTGACTGATTTAGTAGTTAGACCTTTATTTTGAATTTCAAAGCAATAGGCTGAATTTATAGGCTATTGTAATTTTTTTTGCTAGGATTATTTCTTTTCTTTTTTTTCTTTTTTCTTGTCAGTTGTAGAGCTTGAACTCAGGGCCTGGGAGCTATATTTGAGCTCTTTTGCTCAGGCTAGTACTCTATCACTTTGAGCCACAGGACCACTTCTGCTTTTCTGGTAGTTAAATGGAGATAAGAATCTCACAGGGGCTGGGAAGGTGGCTCAGTGGTAGAGCGCTTGTCTTGCATGCATGAGGCCCTGGGTTCAATTCCTCAGCACCACATAAACAAAAAGAAAAAAGCCGGAAGTGGCACTGTGGATCAAGTGGTAGAGCCCTGCCTTGAACTCAAGACAGTGCCCAGGCCCAGAGTTCAGGCCCCACAACCGGACCCAAAAAAAAAAAGAATCTCTTAGACTTTCCTGCCAAGGCTGGCTTTGAACCATGATCCTCAGATCTCAGCCTCCTAAGTAGCTAGAGTGACCAGTGGGAGCTACCAGTGCCCAGTTCTGCTAGGATTATTTCTGATGTTAGGGTGCTTTCCAGTTTTTAGGCATATTTATTTAGCTGATTTTAAAAATAATTCTGTATTTATGTGTTGAGGGAGTCTCCTAGCCTGGCCTGAAATTTGCTATGTAGACTGACTTCAGAGTTGTGATTTTCAGCCTCATACCTCCTGAGTGCTGGAATTATAGATATGTGCCACCATGCTCAGCTCATTTTTAAAAATTTTTATTTATTTATTTATTTTGCTGGTCCTGGGTACTGCCTCTGAGCTTCTTTTGCTCAAGTCTAGCATTCTACCACTTCTGCCACAGTGCTACTTCCAGCTTTTTGTGAGAAGTTTATTGGAGATGAGAGTCTCACAGACTTTCCTGCCCAGGCTGGCTTGGGACTATAGTCAGATCTCAGCCACTTGAGTATCTAGGATTACTGGCATGAGCCATAGGCTCCTGGCTTCCACATATTTTTGTTTGGTTTTATACATGTACCTATATCATGGGGGACTGGGAAGGTAGCTCAGTGGTAGAGTGCTTGCCTTGCATGCATGAGGCCCTACGTTCCATTCCCCAGCACCACATAAGCAGAAAAGGCCAGAAGTGGCGCTCTCGCTTAAGTGGTAAGGCGCAAGCCTTGAACTGAAGAGCTGAGGGACAGCGCCCAGGCCCAGAGTTTAGACCCCACCACTGACTCCCCACCCCCACCCCCAAAAAAAAAAAAAAAAGGCTGAGAGTCATTGGCTCCTAGCTAATCAAGAGACTGAGATCTGAGGATTGCGGTTTAAAGCCAGCCTAGGCAAGAAAGTGTGTGAGACTTATCTCCAATTAATGCCCCCCCAAAAGCAAGAAGTGGCTTTGAGCTGTGGCTCAAGTGGTAGAGCACTAGCTTTGAGCAAAAAAAAATGCTCAGGAACAGCGCCCAGGCCCTGAGTTCCAAAAAATAATAATAATAATAATCATGGGATTAGGGTATAGCTCAGTGATAGAGCACCCTTGACCGTGTGGATTCAGTGCTTACAGACATCCTCACTCTCACAAAAGCTTTTGATTTATAAGCTGTTATCTCAGTTTAGAAATGTAGTTAGCTGGGGCTGGGAAGGTGGCTTAGTGGTAGAGCACTTGCCTTGCATGCTCAAGGCCCTGGGTTCGATTCCTCAGCACCACATAAGCAAAAAGAAAAATGCCGGAAGTGGCGCTGTGGCTCAAGTGGTAGAGCGCTAGCCTTGAGCTGAAGAGCTGAGGGACAGCGCACAGGCCCAGAGTTCTGGACCCATGACTGGACCCAAAAACAAAATAAAACAACAACAACAAAAAAATAGAAATGTAGTTAGAAAAAAATAAAAATAGAGAAAAGAAGTGAAGCTGTAGCTCAGGTGGTGGCATGCTAGCCTTGTGCTAGCATTTGCCCTGAGTTCAAGCCCCAGTACAAGCACAAAAATTAGAAAAAAAAAATAGAAATGTGGATAGGATCCTATTTTGATTTCCTCTTTTTCTGATGGTACTCAGGATTTGAACTTGGGGCCTTCATGCTTGCTCAGCAAGTGCTCTACCACCATAGAGCCAGCACTCCCGTCTCCGGGGGTGGACCTCTGCTGGTGCCATGCCCCCACTGTAGTGTGGACTTTGTGGATGACCGGACTGACTACTGGTGGTCTCTCTCAGGCCAACGAGGTGACGGACAGCGCATATATGGGCTCTGAGAGCACCTACAGCGAGTGTGAGACTTTCACAGACGAGGACACCAGCACCCTGGTGCACCCTGAGCTGCAGCCTGAGGGGGATGCCGACAGCGCGGGCGGCTCAGCCGTGCCCTCGGAGTGCCTGGACACCACGGAGGAGCCGGGCCACGGGGCGCTGCTGCTGCTCCCGGGAAGGTCGGTACCCGCAGCCCTCCCCACCATGGGCATCCTGGAGGAGACCCTCTGGGGTAGTGGGTGGGTCTCGGCTACATTGTGTCTGTCTTGCTTCTTATCCCCTTGTCGAGTTGTACCTGCTACCTGCGTGCAGAACTGAACCTGCCTGCGTGGTCTCTGGACAGGCACTTCACCAAAGAAAAGCTCAAAGGCAGTGGCCCACACCTGTAATTCTAACTCCTCAGGAGGCTGAGATCTGAGGATGGAAGTTGGAAACCAGCCTGGGCAGGAAAGTCTGTGAGAGTCTTATCTCCAGGTAACCACCAACAAGCCAGAAGTGAAACTGTGGCCCAAGAGGTAGAGCACTACCCTTGAGCAAAAAAGGCTCAGGTCATGAGTGCAAGTCCCAGGACCAGCACAAAAATTTTTCCCTTTTTTTTTCTTCTGTCGGTTGTGGAGCGTGAACTCTTGGCCTGGGCGCTGTCCCCCAGCTCTTCAGCTGTAGACCAGTGCTCTACCACTTGAGCCTCAGCCCCACTTCCGGCTTTTTCTGCTTATGTGGTGCTGGGGAATCAAACCCAGGGCCTCATGCATGCAAGGCAAGCGCTCTACCACTGAGCCACCTTCCCAGCACCACAAAAAAATTTTTAAATAGTGCAATCAACTAGGAAAAGGCCCTTGATCTTGAGTCACCTGGAAAATGCCAGTGAAAACTAACTGCATGGAGCTATAAGCCCTGCAGAGAGGAGGCAGCTGTGTCAGTGGTCTCTCTTCCAGCTGATCTCCACATAGGAAGTGAATACTCCTCTGGACAGCAGAAAACTCAGGTTTTAATGCTGCACCTGGGAAATGCCAGTAGGTTTATAGAAGTTATAAGACCAACTTAGTCTTCTGGGCTTTGTCAACATAGTTCGTTTTTTTTTTGAGTGCTCTATATAGTTTTTGTTTTTTTTTTTGTCGGTCGTGGGCCTTGAACTCTGGGCCTGGGCGTTGTCCTTCAGCTCTTCAACTCAAGGCAAGCGCTCTACCACTTGAGCTACAGCGCCACTTCCAGTTCATTTTTTTTTTAGAAAGGAAAATAATAGGTTTACTTGACATTTTGGAGGACCATTAACAAACTTTCCATGACCAAAGAATACCTAGTATGATTTGGAATTTGCATTAACTCTTTTCAGTCCTTAAGATTCCTTTTACAGTACAAACTGAATAAAGTTCCTGTTTCTGTTTTTACATTCAGATGGGGCTGAATAGTATTGCAAAGCAGTAAGTACTAAGCTTAGGCATTCATTCTATTTTGCAACTTTTCTCTCCTCTCTTTCTTACTCCCCTTTTTCCTCCAAATTGCTTTGCTTAAACTATATTACCTATTGACCAGTCAACTTAGTTCTTAAAGCCAGGGCTAGAGGACATGATGCTCACGTTCATGTCTTTGTTGCACCCAGTCTAGATTACCTGTTCTTGTCTAACTGCTTGCCCTGGATGGCTCTCCCCCCTGGTCTGAAGACAACAGGATCTCACTGAGAGTAGCATGCTTGCTTCTGCTTCCTATTCCTGGCAGCTCTGATCTCGCTGTGGAGATGTAGAAGCAGCCACAGACCACTAGGGGCCTGGCTGGGTGTATCCCAAAACCCAGCTGTCTACAGTACCAGGTGTGGCAGGGCTCAGCCTGCCCTGGTTTGTTGAGCTGTATTAATTACACTCTGTAAGTCTCCTTTTTACTTTGTAGTGTCTATTTATTTTTATTTATTTTTTTTAATTTAATTTTACTTTTTGGGTCCGGTCATGGGGCCTGAACTCTGGGCCTGGGCGCTGTCCCTCAGCTCTTCAGCTCAAGGCTAGCGCTCTACCACTCCAGCCACAGCGCCACTTATGACTTTTTCTTTTTGCTTATGTGGTGCTGAGGAATCGAACCCAGGGCCTCATGCATGCAAGACGAGCACTCTACGGCTGAGCCACCTTCCCAGCCTCTTAGTAGTGCTTTTGTATTTCATTGGAAAAATGTTTATATCTGAATCCCTTTAAAATAGTTTCAAACTCAATTCACGTAACTGGCTTTTCTGTGTGATGTTATATAGAGTCTATTTTTTCCCAGATGGATGTCTAACAGACTTGTTCTTGTGTTTGGTTGTCTGTGGGTCATGGTGGGTGTGGGATGTCCATGGGTCATGGTGGGTGTGTGGGTGTCCGTGGGTCATGGTGGGTGTGTGGGTCCTCGTGAGTGTGTGGAGGTGTTCGTGGGTCATGGTGGGTGTGTGGGGGTGTCCGTAGGTCATGGTGGGTGTGAGGGTGTCTGTGGGTCATGGTGGGTGTCTGTGGGTCATGGTGGGTGTGTGGGGGTGTCTGTGGGTCCTGGTGAATGTGTGGGTGTCTGTGGGTCCTGGTGGGTGTGGGGGTGTCTGTAGGTCCTGGTGAATGTGTGGGTGTCTGTGGGTCCTGGTGGGTGTGTGGGGGTGTCTGTGGGTCCTGGTGGGTGTGTGGGTGTCCGTGGGTCATGGTGGGTGTGTGTGGGTGTCTGTGGGTCATGCTGGGTGTGTGGGGGTGTCTGTGGGTCATGGTGGGTGTGTGGGTGTCTGTGGGTCATGGTGGGTGTGTGGGGGTGTCCGTGGGTCATGGTGGGTGTGTGTGGAGGTGTCTGTGGGTCATGGTGGGTGTGTGTGGGGGTGTCTGTGGGTCATGGTGTGTGTGGGGGTGTCTGTGGGTCATGGTGGGTGTGTGGGGGTGTCCGTGGGTCATGGTGGGTGTGTGGTGTCTGTGGGTCCTGGTGGGTGTGGGGGTGTCTGTGGGTCATGGTGGGTGTGTGTGGGGGTGTCTGTGGGTCATGGTGTGTGTGGGGGTGTCTGTGGGTCATGGTGGGTGTGTGGGGGTGTCCGTGGGTCATGGTGGGTGTGTGAGGGTGTCTGTGGGTCATGGTGGGTGTGTGGAGGTGTCTGTGGGTCCTGGTGGGTGTGGGGGTGTCTGTGGGTCATGCTGGGTGTGTGGGGGTGTCTGTGGGTCCTGGTGGGTGTGGGGGTGTCTGTGGGTCATGGTGGGTGTGTGTGGGGGTGTCTGTGGGTCATGGTGGGTGTGGGGGTGTCTGTGGGTCATGGTGGGTGTGGGGGTGTCTGTGGGTCATGGTGGGTGTGTGGGGTGTCTGTGGGTCATGGTGGGTGTGTGGGGGTGTCTGTGGGTCATGGTGGGTGTGTGAGGGTGTCTGTGGGTCATGGTGGGTGTGTGGGTGTCTGTGGGTCATGGTGTGTGTGGAGGTGTCTGTGGGTCATGGTGGGTGTGTGGGGGTGTCTGTGGGTCATGGTGGGTGTGGGGGTGTCTGTGGGTCATGGTGGGTGTGTGGGTATCTGTGGGTCCTGGTGGGTGTGGGGGTGTCTGTGGGTCATGGTGGGTGTGGGGGTGTCTGTGGGTCATGGTGGGTGTGTGGGGGTGTCTGTGGGTCATGGTGAGTGTGGGGTGTCCTTGGGTCATGCTGGTAGCAGGAGAGGGCATGTTCTTTGTTCTCTGTCCATTCTTGGGTCCATACACTGTTTCCTTTATTTCATATATATATATATTTTTTTTTTGGGGGGGGGGCCTGGGCGCTGTCCCTCAGCTCTTCAGCTCAAGGCTAGCGCTCTACCACTTGAGCCACAGCACCACTTCCAGCTTTTTTCTTTTTGCTTATGTGGTGCTGAGGAATCGAACCCAGGGCCTCAGGCATGCAAGGCAAGCGCTCTACCACTGAGCCACCTTCCCAGCCCTGTTTCCTTTATTTCAGCATTGAGCTGATTCATGTTGGCCTAGGTCCTCCAGCTTGTTCTTCAGTATGGTATCTTTGGGCCCTGTGCAATTTTGTATTTGCCTTTTCTTTTTTGGTACTGGGAATCAACCCCAGAACACTGCCCTTGCTAGGAAGTGCTTTGCCACCGAGCCCAGCCCAGCCCAGTGCACTCTTTTCTAAATGTAATTTTACTGTTATTACTCAGGTGTTGTGTGGAGGGCCTGCCACTTCATGAGTCCGGCGGTGTGTACACTTCTTTTTGGAATGTCACCCTTCTGTGTGCTTTTCCCCAGTGTCTCCCTCCTGTCCCTGCACAGTTGCATCGCTCATTTTTCACATAGCGTATACTCAATAGCATGATCGTGATTGTTCACCTTTCCTCCCACACCACCACTCCTACTAGTGACCAAAATAACAAACAAAAAAAAAAACATGTTTCTATTTCTTGGAGTTCATTTTGATAAAAGTATTTTAAGTGTTCGGAGGAGGGGCTGGGAAGGTGGCTCAGTGGAATAGTGCTTGCCTTGCATGCATGAGGCCCTGGGTTCAATTCTTCAGCACCACATAAGCAGAAAAAGCTGGAAGTGGCGCTGTGGCTCAAGTAGAAGAGTGCTCGCCTTGAGCTGAAGAGCTGAGGCCTAGAGTTCAGGCCTCATGAACAACAACAACAACAAATGTGAGGAAGAGTTTGCCTTTGTGTTCCTCCACTAAGGGTATCCTCCTGTAGTCTTAGAGTCCTGTATAAATTATCATATAACTGTGTAAGTTTTATTTTAGATCCAACTTCTATGTATAAGAGAAAACATGTACCCTTTGTGTCTGAGCTTGGTTTATCTCACTTAACATGGTTTTATCTAGGTCCATAGATTTTTATTTAAATGACATAATCTTTTTCTAATGGATGAGTAAAATTCCATTATGTATACGTACCACATTTTATTTAGCCACTCATGTATCGTAGGGCATCTGGGCTCTTTCCAAAACTTGGCCATTGTGAATAGTTCTGCGGTGAACATGGGTACGCAAGTGTCTTTGCCATATGCTGACTTAATGTTTTGAGTAGATGCCTAGGAGTGGTAGGACTGTGTTGTAGGGAAGATCTATGTTTAAGTTTTTTTTTGGTCCGTTGAGGGCTTGAACTCAGAGCTTAGGTGTTATACCTGAGCTTTTTCGCTCAAGGCTAGCACTCTGCTGCTTTGAGCCACAGAGCCACTTCTAGTTTTTTTGTGGTTAATTGGAGGTAATAGACTTTTCTGCCTAGTCTGGCTTTTGGACTGTGATTCTCAGATCTCAACCTCTTGAGTAGCTAGGATTATAGCATGAGCCACTAACACTGGCCTTATGTGAGATTTTTTTTTTGACGGTCCTGGGGCTTGAACTCGGGTCCTGAGTGGTGTCTCTGAGTCTCTTTGTGCTCAAGGCTAGCACTCCAGTGCCACTTCTGGCTTTTTCTGAGTAGTTTATTGTATTGGGGTCTCACAGACTTTCCTGCCTGAGTTAGCTTTGAATCATGACCCCATGATCCCTTAGGCTTCTGAGTAGCTAAGATTACAGGTGTGAGCTACCAGTGCTTGGCTTTTTGTGAGATTTCTTTTTTTTTTTGAAGGAGGGGGGGCTCAGTCATGGGGCTTGAATTCAGGGCCTGGGCACTGTCCCTGCGCTCTTCAGCTCAAGGAGAGTGCTCTACCACTTGAGCCACAGCACCACTTCCAGTTTTCTGAGTGGTTTATTGGATATAAGGGTCTCATGGACTTTCCTGTCCGGGCTGGCTTTGAATCTTGATCCTCAGATCTCAGCCTCCTGAGTAGCTAGGAATATAGGCGTGAGCCACCAGTGCTGGCATTTTTGTGAGATTCTTATTTCCAGTTAACCACCAAAAAGCCAAAAGTAGAGCTGTGCTTCAAGTAGTAGAGTGCTATCCTTGTGCACAAAAGCTTAGTGATAGCACCTAGGCCTTGAGTTCAAGCCCCGTGACTGATACAGAAATACACACATTCATCATACATACATACGTACATACATACATCTTGGACTTTGCTGACCACTGAAAACAATCTGCCAGTTAAGAGGAACTAGTATGACAGCACTCGACGTCCCACCAGACTTTCAAACCAGCTGTTACAAGGTGTTCTTCACCCTGGCCCACCAGGGATGGTCTCATGGTACGAGACCGAGCTGGCAGCCCTGCTTAACACTGAAGGTCGGGATCAAAGTGTTCAGACTTTTCTGACCCTGCTGGCTGCTTCTAGACGGGGCCGTTGTTCTAGTGCCTGGGTCTTCCTTTTCTGAGAGGAATACCACCTTAAAATGGGGCCGTTTCCTGTGTTTGGGGCTAAGTGCAAGATGTTGTTAAGATTGATGTCACTTGCTCCTGTTTGTTTGTTTTTAGCAGGGCTTCTTGGGAAGTAGGACTGAGGCCTGTACTTGGCCTAGTTCGCTCCTGATGGGGTCACTTCTCTGTGCTCTGCAGGTCGCGCTCCTGTGGCCAGGCTGTTGTGATGGTGATTGGCGGTGAAGAGCATTTTGAGGACTACGGTGAGGGCAGTGAAGCAGAGCTGTCCCCAGAGACTATGTGCAACGGTGAACTGGACTGCAGCGACCCTTCCTTTCTCACCCCCAGGTGATACCCTGCACTGTGCTTGGTCTTCCTCCCACTCTGTCTTAGTTATTGGGAGTTTGCTGAGCTCACAGGTTGGTAGGAGGAGTCTTGCTGTATTCAATTCCATGTCCTTAACATACCACATTCAGGGATTTTGAGTTTGTACTGGGGTGAAGGTGGGCGTCATTCCCTTTCACCCAGTCACATGCCCAAGTCACTGCTGACCTCTGCCTCCACGTAGCTCAGAGCTATGCTTGGAACTCAGCCTGTGGGTTCTGAGTGCTGGTCATAGGTCATTTCATGGTCTACAGCTGACTTTGAGGGAGGCTGTGGAATGGCAAGCCAGTCTTTGTATTCACATTTTTTAATTTTTTTTTATGGTTATTATAAAGGTGAAGTACTGAGGGGTTACCGTTAGTTATATAAATCAAGAAAAGAACAGATTTCTTTTTGGACAGTGTCACCCTTTCCCTCACTCCCTCCCACTTTTGAATTCATATTCTTATAATTACCTGATGTCTTCAAATTCTCTGGAAGATCTGGGTTTAAATAAGCTAAATGAACTGGGTGCTGGTGGCTCACGCCTGTTATCCTAGCTACTTAGGACTGGGATTCAAGCCAGACTTTTTATCTCCAATTGACCACCAAAAAGCCAGAAGTGAAGCTGTGGTTCAAGTGATAAAGTGCTAGCTTTGAATAAAAAAGCTCAGAGACAGTGTGTAGGCCTTTTTAAAAAAATTTTTTTTTTAAATAAATAAGGTGAATAGTATCTAGTCAACAAGACCATCACTTTCTCTTAGGGCTATGACATCTAGTCAACAAGACCATCACTTTCTCTTAGGGCTATGCTATGCCTGAGGAGATACAGCAGAATTCAGAGTCTACTTGGCTTCGTTGAAGACAGGGGACCTGGGCCACCAGCTCTTATCAGCATCGCACCCGCCCCTAGGTCTTTGTAGAGCCCAGATCTGGTTGGAGGTACCATCTGTGTTGCTGCTTCTCCCTTTTTCTCCTGGGCCCTGAAATCCTCTTCAGCAGCAGAGTCTCAGTATCGGTAAAGCTGCTGTTTGTTGTCATAGCTAGAGCTGTGGAGTGCCAAGAAGGCCGGCCCCTAACTGAGCCAGGATTCCCCCTCTTACCCGGGTGCCTCCTCCACGGTTTTATTTTTTGCTGTGGGCAAGCCCTCTCAGGCATCCCTGCCTGCTCTCCCTTCTGAGAAGAGACATGGGTGGGAAACAGTGGGCTCCTCCACAAAAACGGGCATTCTGAGTCCGTCTGTCCTGCTGTGGCACGCTTCCTATCTGTCTCTTGTCTAGTTTTTTTCATTACTTTCTGTCTAAAGTAGAATTTCCCTGCTACCTATTATGTTTTCCTCTCACCCTTCTTAAAATCAACTTCCAGATTAGTTTCCAACAGTCTGTGGCTCCCAGTGCCTTAGGGATGGCATTGCCTCCTAGACCTTGGTTTCTGAGACCAGAAACATCACTGTGCACTCTTGCTACCAAGAACCCATTGGTAGGAAGTCACAGGAGGCCAACTAGCAGCGCAGAGGATAAGTCCCAGTTGTCTTTTGTTTTTGTTTTGTGTTCTAGGCCTGAACTCAGGGCCCAGGTGCTGTGCCTTAGCTTTTTTTTTTTTTTTTTTTTGCCAGTCCTGGGTCTTGAACTCAGGGCCTGGGCGCTGTCCCTGAGCTTCTTTTGCTCAAGGCTAGTGCTCTACTACTTGAGCCACAGTACCACTTCTGGCTTTTTCTATGTATGTGGTACTGGGGAATCGAACCCAGGGCTTCATGCATGCTAGGCAAGCACTCTACCATTAAGCCACATTCCCAGTTTCATAGATGTGCATGCGGAGATTTGGCTTTGGCCCTTGATCCTCAGATCTCGGTCTCCTAAATAGCTAGGATTACATATATTGAGCTACCAGCACCCAGCTAACTTCTAAAGGTTTTATTTTTGTTTTTAACACAGATCTGCTGTTCTTGATCTTGATAGTTTCTGAGGCAGTTAACTAAAATACTACAGTGAGTTGTGGCATGTTACTATAATCCCAACACTTGACAGGCTGAGGCAAGAAAATGAGGGGTTCAAGGCCAGCCAGGACTGTGTATTGAGAGCTTCCTCAAAACCACAACAAAAGCACAGTGCTCCCCGGAGGCACCTTTGCTGCCACATAGATCCACTTACGCAGAGGAGAATGCTGTGTGCTCCTTACCTTCTCGTCAGGCAGGTTTTTGTTTCCTAGCGAGCTTCTTGCTGACCTGTGAGGGCAGGTGTTGCAGAGCCCTTAGGGATGGTAGATACCACAGGCTCCTTGGACGGATGTCGGGTAGCCTCCTACAGCTCCTTCTCTTCCAGCCTGCTTTTGTCTAGCACCTGTCCCATCCTCCTCATGGCACAGATAGCCTCCTGACAAACCCTTTCCTCTTATGACCTTACACTCTGTCTCTCTAGTTCCGACCCACTTGCTTCAAAGCTGCGCAACATCCTCACTGATGAGGCCTTTGAGTTTTACTGTAGCCAGTGCCACAAACAAATCAACCGCCTTGAGGACCTTTCTGCCCGCCTGAATGATCTTGAGATGAATAGGTAACACTAGTGCACGGCCTTGCTTTGTTCTAGGGGTGAGGGAGACTTTGGCAGTCACTGCCTCCATGCTGATGTGACCCAGGGTGCTCCGGCTGTGATTACCCAGACCAGCCTGAATGCCCAACCCAAAGAGGGTTCCAGACAGTGGGACTCTTCCTTCATTCTGGCCCCTTCCTGCATGCCCTGAGCTGTGCCTGCTACTCTTTTCCCCACCCCTGTGCATGTGGTAGCCTTGCTAGCCATGGTCTTTGTGGGAAGAAACAGTCCAGTGTGCAAGAAGTCACACCTTGCATCTTAGTAAAAAAAAAAAAAAAATCAACCGAGCACTGGTGGTTCATGCCTGTAATCCTAGCTACTCAGGAGTTTGAGATCTGAGGATCGCAGTTCAAAGCAGCCTGGGCAGGAAAGGCCATGAGACTCTTATCAAAATCACCAGAAAACCGGAAGTGGTGCTGTGGCTCAAGTGGTAGAGCGCTCACCTTGAGCTGAAGAGCTGAGGGACAGCGCCCAGGCCCAGAGTTCAGGCCCCACAACCAAAAAAAAAAAAAATCTCCTTAACTGAGTCACATTAGGGAGAAGTGGGGAATTTAAAATCTTTGGAGCAGATGTGTGAGCAGCTTTCTGCAGTGCTAGGCCAATCCAGATGGTGTGTGCTGTGGGAGCCTCTGTTCTGTGAGGTGGCTGCAGTCTGCCCACGGTGCAGGCCTGGGGCGGCTACTCTGCCATCAAGGCTGTGCCCGATACTCCCCTACGCCTAGGTGCCCTGCCTGCTCTTCCCCCTGGCCAGTCCTGTTTTTCTTCTTACCTGGTAGTTTGTATCCCATCCCTTTGTTCTCTCTCTAAGCCCAAACAAACCAGCACTCCAGGGAGCTACAATTTCACAAACCTGTTGGGGGAAGATCTTCAGGTCATTTACTTACTTTGACATACCCTGGGCGTGCTGTTGGTTTAGCTTGTAGTGTTGACCAGTGCCTGGCGGGTGTTGGCCCTGTGAGCCTCTGGCTGAAGAGGAGGTGTGCCACACATGGTACTCTGTGCAGTTGCTCCGGGTACGCAGGCTGGTGCGGGGCACATGTGCTGTGGGCTTCATGCAGCCACCCAGGATGGTCTCCTAGAAGAGGCCTTGAGCTAGTGGAAGAGTTTGTGCAGGCTATCCTGATGTACAGTGGGGTCTTGGCCACCTTAACAAGCAGAAACTCTTCGAGGGGTGTCCCTGGAAGGCTTGAGGAAATCTGGTGGTGATTCCAAGACTTACTGGCTTGCAGTTTTTTGTTTTTAATTTTTTTGTTTTTTGTTTTTAACTCTTTTTTTTTTTTTTGGTCGGTCATGGGGCTTGAACTCTGAGCCTGGGCGCTGTCCCTCAGCTCTTCAGCTCAAGGCGAGCGCTGAACCGCTTGAGCTACAGTGCCACTTCTGATTTTCTAGTGGTTTATTGGAGATAAGAGTCTCACGGACTTTCCTGCCCGGGTTGGCTTTGAACTGTGATCCTCAGATCTCAGCCTCCTGAGTAGCTAGGATTACAGGCGTGAGCCACCAGTGCCCAGCCTGACTTGCATTTTAGAGAAGCCTGTTTTCCTGTTACATGTTCAGCTAGGCATTTTGTGTGCTGTTCTGGGCAAGCGAGGAACTATGTGCTCCTTTGTTGGAGTGCAGCCTGTTATAAAAGAAGAAACGTGTCTCACCTCTTGCTCTCCAAACACTTTTTTTTTTTTGGTCAGTCGTGGGGCCTGGACTGTCCCTCGGCTCTCTCCAAAGATTTTGACATGGAGATGGTAATCTCTTGCCCTGCTGAGAACCTGCCTCCACATGAGCCTGGCCTTGTGGGGTGGTGGTGTGGCTTAGCACAAGCAGCAAGCCCCCTGGGGTCTTTTCACCCTACGAGGCTCTGCTCAAGTGGGCAGACTGTGAGGCCACATGAGGAACAGGAGTGTGAGTCCTGTGTCCTGGTCTACATGGATCACTTCACAGTAGCTCCATGGCCACACTATGTATGATAAAGGGGCTTAGTCTAGACCTTCCCTGGAGTCTTTGGAGTCATGTCTAGTGGGCTGTGTCTGCAGATGCTTGAGAATCTCCGTGGAAACAATTAATTTTTTTTTTTTTTTTGCCGGTTGTGGGGGCCTGAACTCAGCCTGGGTGCTGTCCCTTGGCTCTTCAGCTCAAGGCTAGCGCTCTACCACTTGAGCCATAGTGCCACTTCCAGCTTTTTCTGCTTATGTGGTGCTAAGGAATCGAACCCAGGTCCTCAGGCATGCAAGGCAAGCGCTCTACCACTGAGCCACCTTCCCAGCCCAAGGAAACAATTAATTTTATAGGAACTGAAGTCTTTTCTACCCAGAGATACACCCATGCAGAGGCTGACAGATACACTGCAGTCTGCCCTCACGCATTGTTTAGGAAATGCGATCAATATCTGCATCTACAGACCTGGAAAACCATGAGAAACTGAGTGGCAAAGACATCAAACCTGCTGTGCTCTCAGGATTGCGGTCTACCATGTACAACTTGGTAGAAGGCTTTATTTGGGCTGCCAATCTCAGTGTTCCTGTCTCCTGAACTGCTGGGCATCGGCAGAGCTGATCCCAGTGGGCTAAAAGGGTTGCATCGTCACTCCAGTGCCCTCTACTGGTACATCGTAACATTGCAACAGAAAATGAGTCCCTGGTGCCAATGGATTTCCCCAGAGCCAATATTAAGAATTTGACCCAAGGCCACAGGTATTGAACCCAAGACTGGCGCAGCCTACAACCCAGCAGGTAGATTTGGCTCTCAAAAGAGATCGGGAGGCTGGTGAGGCATGGTTCCAGTGCTCAGAGATAAGCCAGACTTCTGCTGGTTCAGTAGGGAGGTGATACTCTGGGATCCAGAAACAAGAGGTGCATTTGGCTAAACTAGATGGACAGCATGTATGTGTTGTTGGACTGACGTCAGGAATGGTTTCTTGAACCCCTTGTCCCATAGGTGTTTTGAGTATGAAGTGTTGGGGCCAACCATGACAGGTTCTCCTGTCACAGGCAGGCCTGTGTCTTGTTTCACTGGAAGCCTTTGATGGCCAAGTATGGGTGGGCCATGGGGTAGCTTGAGAACCATTTGTTATGAGATAATGGCTGATGATACGTGGAGGCTTGGGGCCCAGCCCTGACCTTCAGTCTGGAATTCTGTCTTGCTGAGTGTGTGTTCTGTGCCTGAGCCCTGCCTGGGTCAGGGGACTGCATGCTTAAATCCGCTGTCTCCTCAGCCTGCGCTTCCTGTTTCCTCCTGCCCTTCTCTCTGCTCCCTGACACGATTTTCCTGTTTGTTTGGTTTTTGCACAGCCCAGCCAAGCGGCTCTCCAGCAGGAAGGTGGCAAGGTAGGCAGAGCCACGACTTTTTTTACTGAATGTTCTGGATGATATTGACAGCTATACTTTAAAAACGAAATAAACATTTTAGCTGGGTATTGGTAACTCACACCTATAATCCTAGCAACTCAGAAGATAGATCTGAGAATCACAGTGTGAAGCCAGCCCGGGCAGGAAAATCCATGAGACTGTTTGCTTCAGTTAACCACCAAAAAGCCTAGCAAGAAGCTGTGGCTCAAGTGGTAGAGCACTGACCTGAGCACAAAAGCAGGGACAGCACCTAGTCCTTGAGTTCAAGCCCTAAAAGAAAAACATTTTAGAAATATCTCTCTTAGGGGCTGGGAAGGTGGCTCAGTGGTAGAGCTCTTGCCTTGCATGCATGAGGCCCTGGGTTTGATTCCTCAGCACCACATAAGCAAAAAGAAAAAAGCCAGAAGTGGCGCTGTGGCTCAAGTGGTAGAGTGCTAGCCTTGAGCTGCAGAGCTGAGGGAACGCGCCCAGGCCCAGAGTTCAGGTCCTATGACTGAAAAAAAAAAAAAAAAAAAGGTACCTGGTTTGGGATGGAAACTCACTTGAAGGATTGGGTTATGGGAGGGGTTTCTAGGGCAGATTTGATACCTTCTAGTACTACATATTTCCTGTGCGTGCTGCATCCCCTGTATCTGCTGTCAGCCAGGTGCATAAGGTACACCCAAGTGAGGGGCTGACCTCTCAGCCCAGTCAGTCTTGTGTTGCTGCCCAGCCTGTTTGTGTTCTGCGGAGGTGACGTGAGGTCCTAAAGCTATTTGTTGGGTTTTGGTTGAAGGTGAGGGCACTCGGGCTGTCCAGTGGAGTCTTCATTGAAGTCAGCGTTCAGGATCTGTAAAATGCTGGAGTGTTTCCCCAAGCTACTGCTGGAGTCAGTGCTGCCCAGGCCTCTGTCGGGCCCCAAGATTCCCCCAGGAACCATTCCCTCCCACCCCCGCTCACCCCCTTGTAGGATACCCCCCATCTTGGTGGCTGTGGTCTTGGACGGGTCTCCCCAGTACCTGCAAGTTCCTCTATTTGTTTCAAGGTTGAATCTCTGCCTTCTTTCAGGTTTTGCCCTATTTATTCCTTCACATTATTTGCACAGCACATCTTCTGTAGATTCTTGAGTAAAGAGGTACCAGTTGATAACTCCTGAGACCTTGTGAGTGATTTTTTTTCTTTTGTACTGGTTTTGTTTTTTTGTTGTTGCTGGTCGTGGGGCCTGAACTCTGGGCTGTGGGCGCTGTCCCTCAGCTCTTCAGCGTAAGGCTAGTGCTCCACCACTTCCAGTTTTCTAATAGTTTATTGGAGAGTTTCACAGACTTTCCTGCCTGGGCTGGCTTTGAACCATTATCCTCAGATCTCAGCCTCCTGAGTAGGATTACAGGCATGAGCCACCAGCACCTGGCAGTTGTGGGGCCTGAACTCTGGGCCTGGGCGCTGTCCCTGCACTCTTCAGCTCAAGGCGAGCGCTCTACCACTTGAGCCACAGCGCCACTTCTGGTTTTATGGTGTTTTATTGGAGATAGGAGTTTCACAGTCTTTCCTGCCCGGGCTGACGTTGAACCCCGATCCTCGGATCTCAGCCTCCTGAGTAGCTAGGATTACAGGCATGCGCCACCAGCGCCCGGCTAGTGCTGGGTTTTTAACTTAGACTCCTATGCTTGCCAATCAGCTAATCAGGTGCTTTACCATTTGGGCCATGTCCTTAGCCCTTTTTTGCTTTAGTTATTTTTGGATAGGTTCTCACATTTTTGTCTAGGGTGGCATGGACAAATGAGTCTCCTACTTCTGCCTCCTAGTAACTGGGATTAGAAGTGGCTGCTGCTGCTGCTGCTATGGGGATGTCACTTTTTTTTTCTTTTCCTTTTGTGGAGTTTGAACTCAGAGCCTGGGCACTGTCTCTGAGCTCTTTTACTCAAGGCTAATGCCCTGCCACTTGGAGCCACAGGTCTATATCTGGTTTTTGAATGGTTAATTGGAGATAAGAGTCTCAGGGACTTTTCTGCCCAGGCTGGCTTTGAATAGGGATCCTCAGATCTCAGCCTCCTGAGTAGCTGGGATTACAGGTGTGAGCCACCGCAGCCTGGTGGGGATATCACTTTTTACTGGGCTGGTCTTGAACCTTGATCTCCTAACCTCTCTCTGCTTCTGGGACAGCTGATTCAAGCTGCTCCTTGGATGCCCATACACTGGCAGGGCTTTGCTTGTGCTCTTTGCTCTGGAGTAAGAATGCCTTGCTGTTGTTTCTGGTCTAGGATTGTTGCTAAGAGGCTTAAATTACTGTGTCCTAATTTTTGTTTCTTTGTGACTTCTTCTCACTGTAGAAGCTTTTCAGATGTTTTCTTTATCCCTAAAGACCATAAATACAAGCCAGATGCATGTGGCTCATGCTAGAGGCTGAGATCTGAGGGTCGTAGTTCAAAGCCAGGCCCGGCAGGGGAAAGTCCATGAGACTCTTATCTCCAATAAACCACTCAGAAAACCAGAAGTGGCGCTGTGGCTCAAGTGATAAGAACACTTGCCTTGAACTGAACAGCACAGGGACAGCACCCAGGCCCAGAGTTCAAGCCCCACTACCGACCCCCCCAAAAAAAAGACCATAAATATAATCGTAAAGATCATCATGAGTCTGGTTTTGTCCATTTCTGTGGGTCTTTCCCCACAGATCTGACATGCCTGGTCTGCTTGTCCTGCAGCTCTTACGGCCTGCTCAAGGGCTGATGTCTAGAGGGGGCAGAAGCCAGGGTCACACTGGGACCAAAGTCAGGGTCAGAATGGTACAGCCTGCTGTGCTGCTCACTATATCAAAGCCTTCTGCCTCAAACACATGGCTACTGGTAGGAATGAGAAAGGTAAGAACCCAGCCCAGCCATCTCCTGCCAGCCCCCAGCCTCGGGCCCAGGCCGGCTTTGTGTCTAGAGATGCACTGCTAAGAGGAGAGGAGCTTCATGGCTCTGCAAATCTGGGTGGTAAAGAGCTACATTTTTTTTTTTTTTGTCGGTCATGGGGCTTGAACTCTGGGCCTGGGCGCTGTCTCTGCACTCTTCAGCTCAAGGCAAGCGCGCTGTTCCGCTTGAGCCACAGCGCCACTTCCGGTTTTCTAGTGGTTTATTGGAGATAAGAGTCTCATGAACTTTTCTGCCCCTGCTGGCTTTGAACCATGATCCTCAGATCTCAGCCTCCTGAGTAGCTAGGATTACAGGCGTGAGCCTCCGGTGCCTGGCAAACTACATCTTTTAAACTACTCTTCCTTTCCCTTTACAGACCTCTGGTATAAATAGGCCCAACTTGTGGGTATTCACAGTGATATTTAAAGAGCAGAAGCGTATTCTGTAGTGTACCTGCAGAACATAAATGCATTTAAACATGTGTGCAGATTTTAATCTGTCCAAGGTTTTCCCTTCTGGGAAGTCTGGGGAGAGCCCCAGAATTCTTGGGAAACACAAAGCAGCTTTTCCACAGCCCGCTTTGCAGAAGCGCTCACCTCTTTGTCGGTGCGTTGTGGCGGAGGTGATGCCTTCACAGTGCCAGCTGTGTCTCTGGCCGACATGTGTCTTCCCTGACCTGACCGTTCCCTTACTGTCTGTAGAGATGGACTGGCGCTCTCCGTGAGGCACCTGACGGATCAGGTCCGGTTGGACCCCAGCAGGGCCATTGGCTACGCTCCATAGGAAAAGATTGGTCTTAGAGTTCCAGCACCTCATTATCCTTCTGCCAGCCTTTACCTGCCTCCCACAACCCCTTTTCCTGTTGCTCTCCTCACTAGGGAAGGATAAGTGAAGAATTCTCCTTTCCTCATGGGTTAAAAAAACAAAAAAGCACTTCTGCTAGGCAACCATGCTGAGTGGTTGGGGACAGTGTGCTCTCCCTGTCCTATGGTCTCTGCGTCTGAGGTAGGCAGCTCCCTGCCTGAGAGTGGTGTCACATTGAGTTGATTGTCCTGGGAGGCACGGAGCGATGACTGGCCAACACAGTGTCCATCAGCAAGCACCCTTTCAAGAGTCTGAGGAACCCAAAGTAGGTCCAGGAACTCTGGGTGCCCCTATCAAGTATGCACATACAGGTTTGTGGCTCTAGGAACAAAGGTGCCACCTTTCCTTTCTAGTCACTAAGGAGGTAGACGTTTTCATGTAGTTATCACTAGCAGTTAGTTGAATTCTTTTACTGGGCTTCATCCTTAGCAAAACTGTCTACAAACATCCTCTTATTTCAGCCTCATACTGGCTGCCGGAAGTTCCCTGCTGAGGGAGAGGAAGAGGAAGGCGGAGAGGGCTAGAGCTTTTTGAGGGTCACACGACTCTGGACTCAGACTGTCAGGTTTGGGGCCTGGGTTAGTATTGGAGTTTCCAGGGCATGAGAAGACCATAAGATGCAAGCTTTGCTGTTATTTGTATGTCCGTACACATCCATAAGGACTTTAGACACCATAACATCATGAGGAGGTTAGTTTGGGCACTGAACCAAGACATCAGCAGCTGGGAAGTAGCCCCTACCCAGTGGAATACTTAGAATTATGCAGGACTACAGGGTCAGGATTCCATCTTGACCTGGGTAGATCAAAATCCTGTCTACTGATATTGTTGCTGTAGAGGACATGTGCATCTTGGGCTTCTAGGGCCCATGGCTTCTCTTAGGACCCAAAACTGTCACAGCCCAAGAGTGCACTTGTCAACAAAGTGATAAATGCCTATTCTTCCAGCCCTCAGGTGGCTGAGGAGGAGTGAGGTAGGAGTTTGAGGCCACCCTGGGCTATGCGCTAGACTCTCATTCAAAAAATAAAAAAGTAAGCCAGACACTGGTGGCTCACGCCTGTCATCCTAGCTACTCAGGCTGAGATCCGAGGATTAGGGTTCAAAGCCAGCCCGGGCAGAAAAGTCCATGAGATTCATCTCCAATAAACCACCAGAAAATCGGAAGTGGCGCTGTGGCTCAAGTGGCAGAGCGCTCGTCCTGAGCCGAAGAGCTGAGGGACAGTGCCCAGGCCCAGAGTTCAAGCCCCATGACCAATAAACAAACAGATAAATTTTATGTGTGTGTGTGTGTGTTTAAAATGAATCTTTATAGGTGTCCTGTACAGGAGTCAAAATCTTGAATTAATGTTTGATGGGCCTCTATCATGTTGAGGAATGATGTATTTTATTGTGCCCAAGTACAAAGTACCTTTCTCCCATTAGCTGACGGGGAGGGAGGTCGTACTGTTAGGGTCCAAAGAACAATGGGAGGACTCTGACCAGAGTGCAGCCTGCTCACTTCCAGCCCCTTGGTAAAGGCAGCTTACCTGCAGAACCTCTCGTTCAATGCTTTGCTCAGGAGACTCCCCGCCCCCCCAGCCAGGAGTAGAGGCCTCTGCCCTGTCATAATGCAAACCACTTTTGAGGAGGATTTGGAAGTGCTGGCATTAGAAGAGCTTGTCCTTTGGTTTTTCCCATTCTTTCCCCTGCTGTGGACTCTCTTCCATAGGTACCTGCACCAGTCGGGGGCTCTGACTATGGAGGCCCTGGAGGACCCTCCCCCAGATCCCGCAGAGGGCCTAGAGGAAGACATTGCTGACAAGGTAAGCTATGGGAAATGGGAGCCGAGGACCCTGTGTGTTGGGAATGTTGCTGGCATCTGAGAACCTGTGGTTTCTCTGAGACGCTTGCCAGCCATTGGGGACACTTGGCCTTGCCCTGGCCTTGAGAAGCTGTCAGGACAGCTCAGATAGCCAGGGCGTCATCAGTTGCTGGTTAGCTCTTCTGGGTCAGCCTGATATTCCTCAGTGAGGTCTGTAAGGGGTCCAGTGGCTCTGTGGCACCTGGGCAGAGCCAGCCAAAAGAAAGGGGCCGGAGCAGTGGGGTCCACAGAACCTGGTGCCCCATCTCCGGCATGACTGGCTGCCTGTGTGCACTTTGAGTCCATTCAGGATGGCAGCATCAAGGGGATAACGGAGACTCATCTGCCCAGGGCCAATGGAGGCAAGACCAGGGTACCTGGGGATTGGAGAGCAGCCAGGCCGCTTGGCTGTAAATGGCACAGAGCCACAACATCAGGAATGGCTGTATTCCTGGGGACTTAGCTCAAGTCACACCACTCCCCAGGGGCAGCCTGAGCCGTGGAGGGGGTGTACCCACCCTCCCTCTGTGGCAAGCCCCTTCTCTGTGGCATCTGGCATTCTGCAGACTAGAGAAAAGTCCTTTCTCTTCTTCCCTTCTTCCTATACAGGTATTTGTCTCCCATGCTGAGAGTTCCTGAGGGAGGGAGGAGCTAAAACTTGAGGTTTTTGTCCCTCCTGGGCCTCCTCTATGTATTTTGTCCAGCAGAGTAGGGCTCTTATAGGTGGCAGTGCTGACCCACAGTGGGCCATGTACCAGTCAGAAGGTGCTCCTGATCCCCACCAGCTCGGAGGCCCCTTGGTGTTCACCCTTGTGACTGCAGTGTGATTACAGAATAGTTGCTGAGCAGGGTTCTCGGGGGTGGGGTAGGGTGTGGACCCTTCTGTCTCTCTGTACTTACTTCTTAAGCCATCCTCTCATTATTGAGGTTGTCTTCTTGGAGAGGAGGGTGTCAGAGCTGGAGAAGGACAGCGTGGCTGCTGGGGAGCAACACGGCCGGCTGAGGCAGGAGAACCTCCAGCTAGTGCACAGGTGAGTAGGCGTCTTAGCCACCTTGAACAGACGTTGTGATAGGCTGAGAGCCGTTGAAGCACAGACGCTGTGATAGACTGAGAGCCGTTGAAGCACAGACGCTGTGATAGACTGAGAGCCGTTGAAGCACAGACGCTGTGATAGGCTGAGAGCCGTTGAAGCACAGACGCTGTGATAGGCTGAGAGCCGTTGAAGCACAAATGCCAGGGTGGTGGTGGTGGGTGCCCGTGGCTCTCAGGAGGCTGAGATCTGGGACATCATGATTTGAGGCCAGCCCAGGCAGAAGTTTTTGAGACCCTGTCTACAAAGTTAACAGCAAAAAGCAGGGCTGGAAGCATGGCTCAAGTCACAGCAGACAACTGGGAATGCAGCGTAGTGGTAGAGCGCTTGTCTACCTTGCGTGAAGCCCTGGGTTCCATTCCTCAATACCACATTCACAGAAAATCCAGAAGTGGTGCTGTGGCTCAAGTGGTAGAGTGTTAGCCTTGAGCAAAAGATGCTCAGGAACCGTGCCCAGGCTCAGAGTTCAAGCCCCAGCACTGGCAAAAAAAGAAAAAGAGAAAGTGATACCAGCCAAGCAAACAACAAGAGTGAATGAGAGGCCCTGAGCTTAAACACCAGCATGGACCAAAAAATAAAAATAAGACAGGCGTGGGCTGGGAAGGTGGCTCAGTGGTAAAGCGCTTGCCTTGCATGCCTGAGGCCCTGGGTTCGATTCCTCAGCACCACATAAGCAAAAAGAAAAAAAGCCAGAAGTGGCGCTGTGGCTCAAGTGGTAGGGTGCCTAGCCTTGAGCTGAAGAGCTGAGGGACAGCGCCCAGGCCCAGTTCAGGCCCCATGTCCGGACCAAAAAAAAAAAAAGACAGACAGTGTGGGGGTTTGACTCAGCATGCGTCCTGAGTTTAAAACAGACTTCTACACACGTTATTATTCCTCATTGGACGGTGGGTGCATCCAGAGCTTCTCCAAGTTGATTTTCAGAAGAGCTTGGGAGTCCTGAAGGACTAGCCTAGGGTTCACCTACACCCAGCAGTAACTATTAGAGACCTCTGACTGTTGGCCTGTTTGTGAGAACCCACCCTGAGGAAGTATCTGGCCGTGGCACTACTTCTTGGGCGAGGCTTTGCTCCGAGACAGTCCCACTTGTACCATCTCATTCACCCTTGCTCTCACCCTGGCAGGCAGATGCTGCTGTTTGACAGATAAGGAAATGGGCATGGGGAGGTTAGGTGAGTCCTGGCCCAGGGCTTCAGAGAAAGCAGTAGGGGCTTTGGGGCAGAGGGCAGAGCCCTGGGTTAGAGAAACAAGTGAAGGCGGTATTGGCAGACATATAGGCCACCCTGATTCACAGGGTCACAGCCCACCCTGAGCACTGCAGCCTATGGGATTGGCTTCGTGGCAGAAAACTAAGGAAGGTAATAGGTTGGTGAGATGTCATCACTGGACAGGCTTTGAGGAGGACACAGAGTGTGGGACTGTGTTTGTGTAGGGCTGCGCCCACTCCTGCTCTAGGGTCCTTGAAATGCTGCATTTTGGAGTGCTCAAACAAGGCTTATTACATTTGCCCCCATGTTTCTTATGCAGGCTGAGACTAGCTGGGCAGGGACATTAGTTCTCATGGAGGAGCCGGGTACCACAGGGTACCACAGAGGAGGGGGGTTGGTCTAGGAGGCCCGTGTAGAATCACAAGCAGGACTCTGTCCTCTGAACCCATGTCCTTACTAGACCCTCCGGCAGACCACTGAAGTCCTGCTCTCACACGGTGTTGCCTCAGGCCAGGGTTCTGTCCCTTTGCGACCCCGCTTCCTCGTCCGTGACCTTAGTGTTTGGATTACAGCTAGGTCATCCTGACCATGCGTGAGGCCAACATTCAAGACAGCCAAAATAGGTGGTATCCCTCCAGCACGCCACAGGTTCTCCTGAGAGAGGCCAGCCCAGGTGCAGCGCTGCTCACTCTCCAGGACTCTTGTCATGAAGTGCTGCCTTGCTTCCTGGGCATTGGGCTTGTGCAGCCTTTCCTCGTTCCCATGTCTGCACACAAGTCCACTCGGAGGCAGCTGCTCTCTTGCCTTTCGCATGACCTTCCCTTTCCATCAGCTCAGAACTGTGAGCTTGCTTGCTCTTGGGTAGCATACCCATTTTCTTTATAAACCTGTACTTTCCTTTTCTGTGTACTCATTTTCAGAGGGGACAGCCCTGAGAGATGCTGGAAAAGGGTGCGTAGGAGCTCTGCATGTCTAAATATGTGCTCATCCAAGTGGCGCTGTGGCTCAAGCAGTGGAGCGCTCACCTTGAGCTGAAGAGCACAGGGACAGCGCCCAGCCCAGAGTTCAGGCCCCACGACCCCCACACACACACAAAAAGATGTGTTCATTCCCACTCTATCCTGCCTGCAGGTGCTGGCTTAGTAGGGCTCAGTGTGCCAGGTTAGAACTAAGGCTCCTGGGGGTTAGAGATGTGCTCCGATGCTAGCTGATCTGTTCTGTGTGCAGAAGCCTGCACTGCTGGTTCTTTCCCATCCTAGATGTGGTGAGTTGAGGCTCACTGTTTTCTATGATTAGCGCTTGGAGTTTAGCCTATAACGCTAGGAAACTTACCTCTCTAGTTTTAGAACCTTTTGGTCTCTCTACTCAATCTCTCTTTAATTCTTTTGATCATAATAAACCTTCTAAAACTTCCCTCCCATTTCATTTTCCTAATTTCTGATTTTGACTTTTTGTCCCTGTTCTCAGGTCTTAGCCAGACAGCCCAGATAGAAAAGTTCACAAGATTCTTATTTCCAACTAACTACCAAAAAAGAAAAAAGCAGGACTAGAAATGCGGCTCAAGTGGTAGCATACCAGCCATAAACAATCAAGTAGCACTGAGTTCAAGCCCCAAAACTGACAAAAAATAAAACATAAATCTTCAGTTTCCCTCACCAACTCTTCTGTTGAATTAAAAGCTTTTGCTAGGTATGGTGCCTTGTGTCTGTAAGCCCAGCTCCTTTGGAAAGTCTCAGGGTGAGGCCATCCTAGACAAAAAGTTATGACTCCCTCCCACACATTCATCTGAATACGAATAATCTGGATCTTGTGGTACGTGTCTGTCACCTCCGCTGTGATGGAGGCTCCTGTGGTCCTGTGCATGCTAAGCCAGGGCTTTACCACTGAGCCACACCCCTAACCCGCAGCCTCATAGTTTCATTATTTTGTGCGGGTCCTGGGGCTTGAACTCAGAGCCTGGGTGCTGCCCCTAAGCCTCCGTGTGCTCAAGGCTAGCGCTCTACCGCCTGAGTGGCAGCGCCACTTCGGCTTTTTCTGAGTTTGAGCCGTGGTCCTCAGATCTCAGCCTCCTGAGTAGCTAGGATCACAGCCACCAGCACCCAGCTCCCTCATAGTTTTAGTTTCTGAGAATTACTTTTGTCTTCCTCTCACAGTGTGGTGCTCTTATTTCTTGGTAGCATTAGACATAGGTGTTCCCACGTGCCCAGCAGCTGGCCCCACATTCGGCCTGGATGTGGCTAGAAGCTTTGCCATAACTTTTAACACACCATTGCTGACACCCAGACTTGCCTCTGCATGCTGCAAGGTTGGTGGCCAGCTGTCACCTTCGTTACCTGCAGAGGGTGGCACCCCGTGGACCCAGTGCGCTCGGGCCCCTCTGAGGCGGTGTGTGCGGACAACCCAGCCATGTGTTACAGCCCCAGGAGCAGCTTCCACTGTCCGTGTGCAGGACCTGGGAAAGACGCCACGTAGGCTTGCAGGCCTGTTCATGTGAGCCCTACTTTGCCTTTAGAGCCAATGCCCTGGAGGAGCAGCTGAAGGAGCAGGAGTTGAGAGCCAGCGAGATGGTCCTGGAAGAGGCCCGGAAGCAGAAGGAGCTCTTGTGCAAAATGGAGCGCGAGAAGAGCATCGAGATTGAGAACCTGCAGGCCAGGTGGGTGAGGCTCCAGGCGGGTGGGTGAGGGAGGTCCTGCAGGCCGGGCGGGTGAGGGAGGTCCTGCAGGCCAGGCGGGTGAGGCTCCAGGCAGGTGAGGGAGGTCCTGCAGGCCAGGCGGGTGAGGGAGGTCCTGCAGGCCAGGCGGGTGAGGCTCCAGGCAGGTGAGGGAGGTCCTCCACAACCTGGGAAGGAGCCCCGCTGTGGCAAAGGGGGGACTTGTAAAGACCAGAACCCCAATCCTTTCCTAAAAGTCCCTGAACTGATGCCTGTCCTGTGTTCCACACCGACACAGCAGCCTTAGCCAGGCAGCGGCCTGGGCCTGCGGCCTCAGCTGTTCACCCACGCCGAGGAGCTCAAGGCCAGCATGGGTAGTAGAACCAGATGCTAAATTTAAAAAAGAAAATTTTTAAAAAAAGTTGTTTTAAGGAATTTACAGAATTCCTTTTGGGCTCCATGGAACTGATGTTGTGGCCATTTGTACATTAACGCCACTCTGCAAGGGATGCCAGATAACAGAAATGTACACCTTATATGGAGGTGAAGTGGTCAGGAGCAAAACCAGGGGCCTTTGTAGCCCAGATGAGCAGTGGGTAGATGGGGAGAAGGCTCAAGGCTACCTCTCAGAGCAACTGCCAACGGAATGTGCAGACTTGCCTTTAAGGAGTGGCATAGAGTCCCCTCTCCTGGGGACTGGACTCAGCCGGTGATGTAGGAGTCCTTTGGGTGTCGAGTAAGTATGGTGAGAAGGCCCTGGTCTTCGGTGAAATTCCCCAAACCTACCACCCCCATCTCTTCAGAGGACACGGCCAGGGCGCTTGGCACTGTCCAGCCCACAGGAAGGACGACTGGGGAACAAAGGGATGTGAGGCTGGTGCCGTGGATTCCGTAGATGGAGTGTGTCTAGTAGAGTCTCCCCGCCGAGTGCGGCGCAACACAGAGAGCCTGCAGGGACCCTGGGAAAGCCTGCAACTTCCCTATAAACCTGAAGTTACTCCCAAGCCCAAACCGAACTTAAAATCTGTCTGGTGTTAACAGAAAAGTGTTGGTCTAGAGCTGCGTGCTGGTGGCTCACACCTGTAATCCTAGCTACTCAGGAGGCTGAGATCTGAAGATTGTAGTTTGAAGCCAGCTCAGGGAGCAAAGTCCATGAGACTCTTATCTCTAACCAGAAAAGGGCCGGAAGTGGGAATTGGTAGCATGTCAGCAGAAAAAGTCAAATGAGAGTGAGAGGCTCTGAGCTCTCTGTCTCTGTCTCTCTCACACACACACACACAGACTCACTCACTCACTCACTCAAAGCTTTCTATTTTTTTTTGTCGGTCTTGGGGCTTGAACTCTGGGCCTGGGCGCTGTCCCTCAGCTCTTCAGCTCAAGGCGAGCGCTCTACCACTTGAGCTACAGCGCCACTTCCGGTTTTCTGGTGGTTTATTGGAGATAGGAGTCTCCACGGTCTCTCCTGCCCGGGCTGGCTTTGAACCGCGATCCTCAGATCTCAGCCTCCAGAGTAGCTAGGATTACAGGCGTGAGCCACCAGCGCCCGGCTACTCAAAGCTTTCTGTAAGGCTTTGGCTTTCCTTGGCCACAGCAAGTGGAGGTCACAGTGCAGCTTCCTGCCAGGGCTCCCCCAGATCTTGACACCTTTTTGGGAATTCGGTCCGAGCCTCCTCTTTGTGCCCCAGGCTGCAGCAGCTGGATGAGGAGAACAGCGAGCTGCGGTCCTGCACGCCATGCCTGAAGGCCACCATCGAGCGTCTGGAGGAGGTGAGCCGCTGACCCCTCGCAGTGTGTTGGGCTGTCAGAAGTGGGCAGAGCTCTGCCACGCAAGGGGTTCCCCACCCTCTGCTCTAAATTCCAAGTAGCAGCAAGGACATGCTCCAGGCCTCTGGAGCAGAACAGTGTGTCCTGCTGGTGGCACTGGATCCTTCCCAGTTTCCAGATCTCCCACAGACTTGGGATGCACAGGGTCCAGAGACCCACCATGGGATCAGCTCAATTTGTCTGAATTCACTGGAACATGCTCCTGAAGGGTAGACTGGCAACCCCGATCTCCAACACTGCAAGCAAAGGCAGTGCTGTGGGCTCCCCGCTCCAGTCATTTGCTAAGAGACCTCCTCTCTTCATTCCTTTTACAAGTGCCTCTTGGGCACCTCAAAACCAGCATGTTCTGAGACCACCTGAGCTCCAGCTCATGTGAATCAGAGGAGCCAGGCTAGAACGACCCACAAGTAATAGGTGTCAGGCCTTGCCCGAAGGACACTCTTTCCTTCCCTGCTAAAAACAACAGCCCTTATGGCCTATGTGTGCCTAGACCACAGGGCAGAACAGCCCTGCTACCTGAGCCCCGTGTTTGTACCAGTAGACACACTGCAGGAGGCAAGGCCACGTGTCCACACTGCTGTCTGCTTTTGCAGGAAAAGCAGAAGTTGCTGGATGAGATTGAAGAGCTGACACTGCGGCTCAGTGAAGAGCAAGAGAACAAGAGGAAGATGGGGGACAGGCTGAGCCATGAGAGGCACCAGTTCCAGAGAGACAAGGAGGCAACGCAGGAGGTGAGCAGAGCACCTGCTCCTCCCATGTTCCTGCCCAGTTAGATGAAGCCTGGTACCTAGGGAAGGCTTGAGGAGCCTTTCATTCTTTTGGCTACTGGGCAAGACCAGTGGCATTCTGAAATGTGAGGTGATAGTCTCGCAGCAGTGGGTGGCTGACTGGCAGGTGCCTGTCCTCTGGTTGCCTCATAGCTTATTGAGGACCTCCGGAAGCAGCTAGAGCATTTGCAGCTCCTCAGGCTGGAGACAGAGCAAAAACGGGGCCGCAGCAGTAGCCAGGGTCTGCAGGAGTACAACAGCCGTGCCCGAGAGAGTGAACTGGAGCAGGAGGTCCGAAGGCTCAAACAGGTATGGCTCAGCCCCTTGTGCTCACTCCGGCAGAAGCTTCCAGAAGGCTGGAATGGGAAGGGACCTCAGCTGACCGTCTCCCTTGGCCAGTCCTTCCCTAGGCCAGCCCCTAGCAGGGGCCCTGGCCCAATGTGACGATGTGTGTCCTGCAGGACAACCGCAACCTGAAGGAGCAGAATGACGAGCTGAATGGACAGGTCATCACCCTCAGCATCCAGGGCGCCAAGAGCCTCTTCTCCACAGCCTTCTCTGAGTCCCTGGCTGCAGAGATCAGCTCAGTCTCCCGCGATGAGGTAACACACCCTACCACCTGCATCCCCGAGCTCTGTGTTCTAACCCTTTGCTCTCCCCAATCTTGACTCCCTGCTTTCACACAGCTCATGGAAGCAATCCAAAAGCAAGAAGAGATCAACTTCCGCCTACAGGACTACATCGACAGGATCATCGTGGCCATCATGGAGACCAACCCGTCCATCCTGGAGGTCAAGTAGAACAGCAGAGCCCTGGGCTGGTCCAGGACTCCATGAGTACACTGGAGCGGCCCTGCCTCACCACTCCCAGCTAAGGCCGCCAGACCCCACAGCCGGCTGAGCCGGGGGCCGACAGGCCCTCACAAGGCCGGGCTGGGCATGTGAAGACGGGCTGCGGAAGGTGGAGGGTAGTAAGAAGCCAGGAAGGGAAGCCCAGGTAGCAGACAAGGAGCGAGGCTGGGCCTGCTGCTGGCTCCGCCCTTCGGGGAGCCAGGGCCCCTCACCCCGTCACCCAGCCCACAATCACCTGTGTCTTCTCAGCAGTGGTGGGCTCGGGGACAGTCTCAGGCTGGGGTGAGCCACCCTGTGTCTCCTCTGTGGCAGACCCTCTTCCCGCCATGCGGCCCTATGGGAAGAGTCCGCAGCTTTCTACTCAGGCATCCTGACAGGTGCCACCCACGCCTGGCATGTGAGTCCTGGGCCCTCACGGGGGATGACGGTGCGGGTAGGACAGCAGGCAAGGCTGGCACGTGTGAGTCGGGCTGGGAGTGGCTCAGGCCCCAGAGCCTTGCAGTCACTCGGATGGCGTGAACCTCGCTGCTCTTCCCTCAGGTTCTGCCCCTCCCGTGGGGCCCTAGGCCAGGAGCCTTTGCTCTGAGCAGAGGACTTGAGAACTCCCTTCCCGGATGGGTGGACATACCGACCCCTCTGCCTCTAGTTGCAGGTGCTGCTTCTTTGCAGAGATGTGACTTTCTCTGGCCGCCTAGAGCCTAGCACCCCGATAGTGCATAGTGCCCATCACTGCCCTGGGTGAAGGCACGCTTCTCAGGCCTCTGGAACCAGGGTTCCCTTTTGGTGTCTGACTAAGTCATAAGGGTATATTTTGTCGGAGGGCAGGCTGGGAGACTGCACACAGACAAGGGACAGAGGAGCCCTTACCACCCTACCCTGCACTGCCCCAGAGTGGCATCACCCACAAGCTGCTCGACCTGCCTGGGCCTGGGCCCTGGCTGGCAGCCCCAGTGCCCCAGGGTGGCTGGAATCCCGCCACAAAGACTGTCTGTCCACTGTGTGCGAGTGTGTGCACGCCAGCATGAGTGTGCACACAGGCGTGCGTGTGCGTGTGCTCACACATGCTGCCTGCATCCCTCCACTGCCCCCACCCACCCACTACACTACAGTTTAAGGTGTTGCCGCGTATTGTACATTTTGGGGAAAGCCTTGGGTGTAAATCAGTGTAAACTTGGAGGAGAGATTTTTCTATCATGTAGAGTAGGTATTTTTTATAGATTGAAGGTTGATCAATTTTTTTAATACTTTCCAGAGAGAAAACTATCTGTGTATACACATGAAAAAATATATATATATATGTATATGTATAATATATAAATACCGGAGCCCTGCCTCTCTGTGCCACATCCTGGCCTCGTGGCCTGTGCTTGCGGACTGTCCTCAGTGCTGATCATAAACGGGTCTCCAGGAGACACCAGCCCCCACCCTGCCCATCGCACCTGCTTCAGCTCCCTGGGGACGGCAGGGAGGGAGGCCAGCGGGCCCGCTCTGACGTCCCAACCCTGTGACGTGAGCTGCGGCCTGTCCCTGCTGAGTGCACCGCAGTGCTGACCATAAACGGGCTTTGAAAAGGTACACCAACCACCAACCTGCTCAGCACACCTGCCTCAGATCCCTAGGAGGGGCGCTGGGGGCAGGAGGGCGGGAGGCTGGCAGAGGCCTGATGATGTGTCGGCCACCATACATTAAAGCTGTTACTGCACAAGGAGGCCGGGTCCTTCCTCCACAGGGGCTGTGCGTGGGATGGGGTGGCCGTGAGGCAGGGTGACAGCACGCTTGTCTGAGCTTGAACCACAGGAGACCGTGATTAGAGTTGGCTTCCCTGAGGGCCAGTTGTGGCACTCAGCTACTCCTTGGGCAGCATCCCAAGGAGTGCTGGGAGGGCATTGAGGAGTAGCTCAGCAGAGGCATCTATTACTATCGGAAGTCTCAGGCCTGGGGCCCTTGTGCAGGGATAGTGTCTGGGGAAAGCCGCCCTGTGGTCAGGGATGAGGAGTGCAAGGCCATGTGTCCTTTAGGAGATGCCAGCACAGAGAGTACCACAGTGGGGACTTTAGAGGGCATCGCCAGGGCCCCTCACACAATGACTACCTTGCTTGTCACGCGGACATGCGGGTACACAGGTCCAGGGAGGCTGGGGACTCAGCTCTGCTGACCCCTTGACCAAGAGCTGATGACAAGAGGGACCCAGTCTGGCCTACACCAAGGCCTCAGGAAGGAACAAGCCCAGCAGCCCTGGTCTCTTGGGTAGAACCAAGGAAAGTATCTGGGAGCATAGGTAAGACAGGGCTGGGTTTTCTGCCTGCAGGACCTTGATTTGCCCCTCCACCTAGTTCACACCATCCATCAGCATCTGCCTGGCACCTAGGCCAGGAAAGCATCTCCACTGTGGCCTGGCAACTTCTCAGGCAGATTTTGTGTATGCCTGTCCTGGAGCTTAACTCGGGTCCTGAGTGCTGTCCCTGAGCTTTTTCTGCTCAAGGCTAGTGCTCTACCATGTGAGCCACAGCTCTAATTCTGGCTTTTTTGGCGATTAATTGGAGATGAAAGTTTCAGACTTTCCTGCCCAGGCTGGCTTCAAAATGTGATCCTCAGATCTCAGCCTCCTGAGCAGCTAAGAGCACAGGCATGAGCCACCGATGCCTATCAAAGGCAGCTTTAGTGTCTGCATTTGATGTGACACTGGCTCACAGTCCATCCTCCCGCCAGCAGGGACTTGGGAGGGCACTGTTGGCCCTCTGGGATATAGTGAGAGGAAGGACCTGTGATGAAAAACCATTGGCAGAAAAGTTCCAGGAAGGGCTACAGCAGAGGTGGCATCCAGCGAGCTGGAAGAGAGTGCCTGGAGAATGTTCCGAGGAGGCCTGCACCATCCAGCGAGAGCCCCTCAGCCTCTGATGGGGTAGTGGTCTGGCCACAGCATGCAACTGCTGTGTGGCCAGCAAGCAGGCCTGTCCTCCGCTGTGGGTGACTCCTGACACTACAGAACTGCTGGCACTGTCTTGCCTGAGTTAGAAGTGGCGCTGTGGCTCTAGTGGTAGAGTGCTAGCCTTGAGCTGAAGAGTTCAAGCCCCACGACCAACACCAACAACAAAAAATTCTGTCTGAGCAGAGTTCTACCCAAGAGCAGTAACAGGGTTCTCCTCAAACTGAGCAGGAAGCCCACGCCATGCCCCTGGCTGGACATAGGGGAGCTTCCTAGATGGTGCCCAGCCTCCTTTTTTCCTGCTAGCAGTTCAAAGGCCTGAAGAAGGAGACCCAAAGAGGAGCACAAATGGTGGCCAGTAGCCTCACCCTTCTACCTTTTTTTTTTTTTTAAATCAAGTTATTGCTCTTTCTGACCCAGGCACATGTATTTCCTACAGCAGGTAACCAAAACCTGGGCTTTGGACCAGATCTGCAGGTCCGTCCAGCATACTGGGCATTCTACCTCCCCTGGGTAGCCATCCCAAGAGAACCTTAGCTCCGTGATGGGTTCTTGGTGGTGGTTAACATCACACGTACGGGGGAGTTTCACTTCCGCAAGTTAGATTGCATCCAGTGGCTCCTAATTAACATCACCTCTTCCATCATTCCCTCCCATCTCTGTTTTCTTTACTTGTATCCCTAAAGCACAGAAGAGTGTTGGGCTCCCTGGGCTCAGTAAAAACTTGGCCACTGAGCCGCTGCTCTGTCCCTATGGGCCCTCCGTGTCCCCAGCTCCCGCAGGCCATCTGGTGACGTACACCTGTCCCCTCCTGCAGGGCTGTGTTCTCAGGCCAGTATTGCACTCACAGAGCAGGGCCTAATGGCCTGGGAAGTCCAGTCTGTTCTGCGGTCAACACTCGAGATGATCACAGGGACCAAGAGCCTGGTCTTGCCTGTTTCTTCCAGTTCTCTCCTGAGTCAACCATCTCAACAGCTGTGAGACTGCCAGGCCTCTCTGGGTGGGCCTCTCCCCGCCCGTGACAGGCCTTGCTGTCTGCTTCCTCCTTCCCACGTAGGGTTTGGCTCAGCAAACCGGCTGTGGAGCTAGCCGCTCTGCAGTGGCTGAGCAGAAACCTCAGCTACCAAATCAACAGGCTCAAATCCAGCTGCTTCTGGGGCGGGAAGGCCATAGGTTCTTGTGCTCCTCTGCTGGCTGGTCTACTGGCCCCAAACCAGGAAGCCACACCAGCCACCAACCTTGATCTCACGAGTACCCCCGGGAGACTTCCAGGCAAGTCTGGGAGATCACTAAGTGCCCTCATGGTCCTCTTCTGTGGCCACACCTGGCCAGTGGCTGCACCCTGTACACAGGAGAGGAAGCCTGCAGAATTCAGCACTGCTCAAGTCTGCAATCCTCAGCTGCCAATCCCCAGACCTGCCCGGCCCTGCCCTGCCCCCAGGCCTGCCAGCCCCTGCCTGGCCAGCCCCCAGGCCTGCCCCAACCCCTGCCTGGCCTGC